CCTGGGAGATGGGCGCGCCCCTTACCCAACCTGGGGGGGGAGGCCACCCCCCGCCCCCCGGAAACCTGCCACCTCAAGCATATTCTCACCAGCAACCACGCACCGCACCATAACAACTCTAATTCTTAAAGGTGCCACAGGACCCTCTGTTGCTTTTTTACAGATTCAGACTAACATGGCTACCCCTCTGATTTTTGTATTTAATTACATCTCTCATTCAATTAAATTTTTTTGGTACCAGGGATTTCAGCAGACTGACAATGCAAATTAAGGGAGTTTCACTGCAATTGCAACAAGAAAAATGGGGGAACGTGGTTATTTATCAAAGAGCATAGTCTCAAAGGGTATTTCTTAACCTCCCTCTCAGTTCTAATTAGGTTAGTCATTTCATGAAGTTCATTTACCCTTAAGGCAGTTGAAAATGGAAAGAAATAATAGAAATTTTGGAGCTGTGCATGGATTTTTCCTCATTTTAATGGGAATTATTAATTACATGGAACCTTAAGATCATATTCATCTGAAAGGCATCATTACTGAAACAGACATTTCGTTTCCTCTGAAAGTCATCAGTAATCTCAAAGGAGTGTTAAAATATGTTAGTGAAATATTTTTAAGCTTTGCATTGCTTTTTTTTTCCTAGCTCAGCCAACGCTATCAGAGCTGTTTCTTTAAAATTTCTCCATTATTCGAATTATCCTTGTGCATTCCAGAGAAAGGCTTTTTTATTTTAAACTCTCTGGAACAACTACTGGGGCTAACTTCTGCACTTTTGCCTCCCATTGAAAACTCATTGACCATCTTGCCTGAGAGTGGACTACAGATTCAAGCCCCTTTGTTGTGGATGATCACAGTTAAGATCTTGATTCTGCAAACATGTATACACCTCGTTAATTTTACACATCGTGAGTAGTCGTATTTGTGACGTTGCACTCCATATGATTTTATGAAAATATGCTAATGAGTATTAATATAATGTAACTGGAATATGCTTTATGCAAAAGGTCTTTTGTAAGGTATCATTACAAAGCTTATAACCTACTGAGTGTGTTCATCCAATTTGAATAAATGTATCATTCTTGTATCTGGAACTAGAAATATGAAATATAACTCTGAGGTCCTATTATAATTATGCAAAATGTGGGCCATTAATGGTGGTTTGGAATCTTGTTGGCTCCCATTAACCAGAACAATTGACTGTAGATGGCTCTGTTTACTTGCAAGCCTTCCTGTGAGTCAGGCCGGGAAGAATGAAGGCTTGGGGTCTCACAGGACATGTGACCACGTCACCTGGTACTGGAATCCATCTTAAACCTGGTGCTTTTCCATTTAGAAGGAGGGGTGGGGACCCAGAGAGACAAAAGATTCCTGCCTTGTGCCAAAGCTATAAAAGGGGGTGGAACAGAACAAAGGGGGCTGCAGTCATGAGAAATCCCCCAGCTACCACCTGAGCTGGAACAAGGACTGCACCGGGGGAAAGGATTGGGCCCAGACTATAAAGGAGTCTAGTCTGTGAAAGAAGCTTATTGGAACAGCTCTGAGGGTGAGATTTTATCTGTAATTAGGCTTAGACTTGCAAGTTTTTGTTTTATTTTGCTTGGTAATTTACTTTGTTCTGTCTGTTATTACTTGGAACCACTTAAATCCTACTTTTTATATTTAATAAAATCACTTTTTACTTATTAATTAACCCAAAGCAAGTAATTAATACCCAGCGGAGCAAACAGCTGTGCATATCTCTCTATCAGTATTATAGAGGGTGAACCATTTATGAGTTTACCCTGTATAAGCTTTATACAGAGTAAAACGGATTTGGACCCTATTGGGAACTGGGTGTCTGGGTGTTAGAGACAGGAGGATTTTCCAAGCCATTTTCTGTTAAGTCTGCAGTTTGTGGGGGACATGGTTCAGAGCTGGGTCTGTGTTTGCAGCAGGCTAGTGTGTCTGGCTCAACAAGACAGGGTACTGAAGTCCCAAGCTGGAAGGGAGAACTGGCTCAGAGGTAGTCTCAGCGCCATCAGGTGACAGTCCCAAGGGGGTCTTTGTGACCCAACCCATCACAGTATTGACTTCAATGCAACTAGCCAAAGTGTGTAAAATTAAGCAAGTATGTATATCTCTGCAGGATGGAGGCCTGTGAAGCTGTAGCAGTCCCAGACACGTTTCCAGTCTTTAGGGAAAACATGCTGACATTATAAGGTAGAAGAACATCATCTGCAACAGACAGCAAATAATGATGTACAATCTGAGAGAGGATTTGTGACACCTCTACCCCAACGGCACAAACGAGTGCAATGTTCAATACAAAAACTGAAGTCTAAAACATCTGTTAATCTTGCACTATATTACTACAAAGGCAGTCTCTAAATCTAGATGATGACGTTGATTATAAGCATCTCTTTTTGAGGCTAATTCTTTGATAGAGAAAATCCCTTCAGGCTGAAACTTGGCACAAAGGGTCTAGAAGTCTGTTGTGGCTTTTAGTTACGAGTGTACAAAACAGGTTGTGATTCTACTGCCTTTAATCCTGTGGGGGTAAAGATGGCAGGATCAGGCCCATACAAAAGGTCTTCTGATCTTCTATATCGGGGTAGGCAACCTATGGCACGCGTGCCAAAGGCGGCACGCGAGCTGATTTTCAGTGGCACTGTCATAACTATAAAGGGAAGGGTAACAGCCCTCCTGTGTACCATACTATAATCCCTCCTGGCCAGAGACACCAAAATCCTTTTACCTGTAAAGGGTTAAGAAGCTCAGGTAACCTGACACTTGACCCAAAGGTCCAATAAGGGGACAAGATACTTTA